AGAGAGAGAGAGAGAGAGAGAGAGAGAGACAGAGAGAGAGAGACAGAGAGGAGAGAGAGAGAGAGAGACAGAGAGAGAGAGAGAACAGAGAGAGAGAGAGACAGAGAGAGAGAGAGAGAGAGACAGAGAGAGACAGAGAGAGAGACAGAGAGAGACAGAGAGAGAGACAGAGAGAGAGACAGAGAGAGAGAGAGACAGAGAGAGAGACAGAGAGAGAGACAGAGAGAGAGAGAGAGACAGAGAGAGAGACAGAGAGAGAGACAGAGAGAGAGAGAGAGAGAGACAGAGAGAGAGACAGAGAGAGACAGAGAGAGAGACAGAGAGAGAGACAGAGAGAGAGACAGAGAGAGAGAGAGAGAGACAGAGAGAGAGACAGAGAGAGACAGAGAGAGAGACAGAGAGAGAGAGAGACAGAGAGAGAGACAGAGAGAGAGAGAGAGACAGAGAGAGAGACAGAGAGAGAGAGAGACAGAGAGAGAGAGAAGAGACAGAGAGAGAGAGAGAGAGAGACAGAGAGAGAGACAGAGAGAGACAGAGAGAGAGACAGAGAGAGACACAGAGAGAGAGAGAGAGAAGGAGAGAGAGACAGAGAGTGAGAGAGAGAGAGACAGAGAGAGAGACAGAGAGAGAGAGAGAGAGAGACAGAGAGAGAGACAGAGAGAGACAGAGAGAGACAGAGAGAGAGACAGAGAGAGAGAGACAGAGAGAGACAGAGAGAGAGAGAGAGATTTAATTTAACTGAAGGTCTCTCACCTTCTCAGGTGCTAAAGGTCATTGATCAGCTTAGAGAGACACCTTAACACACATACACACACTCAATAACACCCGGAGTGTGTGTGTGTGTGTGTGTGTGTGTGTGTGTGTGTGTGGTGTGTGTGTGTGTGTGTGTGTGTGTGTGTGTGTGTGTGTGTGTGTGTGTGTGTGTGTGTTTGTGTGTGTGTCTGTGTGTGTGTGTGTGTGTGTGTGTGTGTGTGTGTGTGTGTGTGTGTGTGTGTGTGTGTGTGTGTGTGTGTGTGTGTGTGTGTGTGTGTGTGTGTGTGAAGGAGATGGTGACCTTCAGATGTTAAATCAGATTGCATGCTGGGATTCCTCTAAACTCATCCAGGGAGTGATCTTGACCTCCTGAGTCTTTTCCGTTCTTCCTGTTTGTGGAGAAAACAAACTCTCTAACAGGATCAAAGGTTATAAACTGTTCAGACCCGGAGGAACGCTCTGTGGGGACGGTTTGAGACTCTGGTGTTTCTTCAGGTGTTTATCTGGTTTCTTCTTCCTGACTCGGTCCTGTGTTCTGTTGTTGGGTCCCGTCAGGTATCCAGGGCGTGGTGGAGGCGTATCAGGCCTGCCTCCCTAAGCTGCAGCTCTACGGTCCCACCAATATCGCCCCCATCATCCAGAAGGTCGCCAACTCCGCCTCACAGGAGGTCCACACCAAAGAGGCCATGGTAAGAGCCGGGACAATCCATCTGGTGGAAAACCTTAATTCACACGCTTCATGCTGCTGTCACTCCATCCTGTTAGTGTTCACATCATCCTATATATGATCAGAACCAGGTCCCAGTCTGATGACCCGTTAGATAGGATCAGAACCAGGTCCCAGTCTGATGACCCGTTAGATAGGATCAGTACCAGGTCCCAGTCTGATGACCCGTTAGATAGGATCAGTACCAGGTCCCAGTTTGATGACCTGTTAGCTAGGATCAGTACCAGGTCCCAGTTTGATGACCTGTTAGATAGGATCAGTACCAGGTCCCAGTCAGATGACCTGTTAGATAGGATCAGTACCAGGTCCCAGTCTGATGACCCGTTAGCTAGGATCAGAACCAGGTCTCAGTTTGAAGACCTGTTAGCTAGGATCAGTACCAGGTCCCAGTTTGATGACCTGTTAGATAGGATCAGTACCAGGTCCCAGTCTGATGACCTGTTAGCTAGGATTAGTACCAAGTCCCAGTTTTATGACCTGTTAGCTAGGATCAGTACCAGGTCCCAGTCTGATGACCTGTTAGATAGGATCAGTACCAGGTCCCAGTCTGATGACCTGTTAGCTAGGATCAGTACCAGGTCTCAATCTGATGACCTGTTAGATAGGATCAGTACCAGGTCTCAGTTTGATGACCTGTTAGATAGGATCAGTACCAGGTCCCAGTTTGATGACCTGTTAGATAGGATCAGTACCAGGTCTCAGTTTGATGACCTGTTAGATAGGATCAGTACCAGGTCTAGGGGGCTTCTGATTATGTCAGGATGGAGGATGTCAGGAGAATCTAAGTTCTGTGGAATTTCCAAACTGGAACTTCTCACTCCAATTAAAAAAAAATCTATTCTTCAAGATGCAAGTTTGGCTGCACATCCCAAAACATTCACCTTGCTTTTGGTGTAAAAATAACTTTATACTGACACACAGGTTAAATCATTTCATAATTCATCCTCTCCTCTCACATATCCAGATAATAACATTCCCTACTCTTACACATTTTGCTCAGGGGCCGGAAGAGGCTGCCGCTGAGGTAATTTCAGACGGCTTGGTCCAGGCTGTCTGGAAATTGAATATGGTAACCTCAGAACACGATCACGAAGGTGGTGAGAAGGTTGTGTGTTTGGTGATGGAATAAGCAGAAAGTAAAGTTGGTATAAAATGTTTAGATTTTGCTGTTTCTTTCTTTGCTGAGAAATGGACAAGAAGAGACTTTATGGATTTTTCTTTTGGTTTGTATGGAACATATGACAAAAAGAAATCTGGGAATCTGGGAGTAAATGACAGAAAAAGTGTGACAACATATGACAAGCTACTGCAACAACTCAGCTGTATTGCATTCATTATTTCTCACTATGTTGTTTGAGACAGTCAAACTGCCAAACCATGATGTTTCAGATATATCAAATATAATAACTTGGAAAGGATCTCAGCTCTCACTGGAGGAAGGATTGTGATTGTCAAAATGAGAAATATTTACTTTACTGCCCTGAAAACAATTTGATATAAAGATAGAGTGACTGGATTTGACAACAAGTAAAATCGAGGCAAAATAAAGTTGACTTCTTCTCGTATCTCTGTCTTCAAGCAATACTTCATCCTGCTGATCCTGACAGACGGCGTCATTACGGACATGGCCGACACCAGGGAAGCCATCGTCCAGGCATCCCACCTCCCCATGTCCGTCATCATTGTCGGGATAGGAAACGCAGACTTCAGCGACATGCAGATGCTGGACGGTGACGACGGGATCCTGCGATCGCCTAAAGGGGAGCCTTGCCTCCGGGACATCGTCCAGTTCGTCCCCTTCCGTAATTTCAAACATGTGAGTCTTCTGAAATGACAAAAACAAAGAGTTGAATTTAATTCAAACAGAGTGGTTGTCTCTGCTGCTGTTTTTCTCCGATGGAGTTCCTCAGGGCACAATGGTAGGTCCTCTATTTGTTTTCCTATTTACAAGGTTTCGTCTGTGCTCATTATTCAGAAATAAATCTAATTTTCTGTGGCTCTGGCCTGCATACAACTTGCAAAGCTGAATATTTAACCCACCCTTACTGAAACATATATTAGCTGAGGTGAGGGGGGAAAGGGGCGTGTCCAAACAGAGTGTTTGTTTTGGTCTATAAGTCAGAGAAAACCTTTAAAAACCCAACTTTATATATGGCTTTCATTCGGTTTTATAGGTTTCCTCTTCTATCTGCACCCTTACTCTGTGTTGTGCCTGCAGATCACATTTTATTTGATTTGTTGTTGATTTGTTTTAAAGCACTCAGTTATGCTTTATGAGTATATGAAGTTTTTCTTTAACATACTTTAAAGTTCAAGAGCTGAGACCTCCTCTAAATGTGATCAGCAGATGGTGTGTTAGTTTGAAGGATGAACTCTTGATGTAACTTCATATAGTGTGTATATATAACTGTGTGTGACCCTCAAATAATTGTGGATGAGTGTACATGGAAAGTAATAAGCCGAGAAAAGAGGGGAAGTGGAGGAGGACGAGGAGCGAGTGTGAAGTTGTTGAAGAAATGAGTTTTCACTCTTTAAGGATGAAGACGGAGAGGCAATCTGCCCGCCAATCTGAAGAGAGAAATCTTATATTTCTCTCAAATGAATTTTCATTCTGTAACACGTCTGAAGGTTACAGACTGCACACTGGAGATTCATTTTCACCGTTTGGTCCCAATTCACAGGCACGGCAGATATTTGCCCCCCCAGGGTTTAATCTGTGTGATGAATGAGTGTTTCTGTGTTTGATCCAAAAGAAGGAAATGTTCATGACCGACAGCAGAGAGACGCTCACACTGACAGACCTTCAGACAATCACAGATGCTGTCTGAGTTTTCTCCCACAAGAGCCAACAAAGAAGAAGACTCTCCTCACCAAAGAATATATCCACTGTGCTACAATTTACTATTCTGCATCTATTACTACTATTCAATCAAATCATTTGGTCTGCTGGCTGATCACATGAGAATTATTCACTGGAAACAGAATCGTTGCGTTCAGACGACATGTTCCTTCGATTGTCGGACAGAGTCTGAAATGTGTCTTGCATCACAGCGGCTTCATTTGCAACGTAAAAATTAAAGACAAGATACAAAGACACAAAGATTTGACACAACACCCGAACACCAAACAAATAATCAGAGACCTTCAACGGGCTTCAGTTCCAGATGCAGTGTAAGGATCAACTGGTGAATAAATGTGTTTCAGTAGAGAGCGTTTGCAGCAGCAGGCAGAAAAACTGCAGAACCAAGTGTTTTTTTTCTGACCGCTCCGCTTTTTTTTTATGCGGCCGCTCCGATTTTTATAAATATTTCAACTTCAACTTTTTTTATGTCACCAGTCCTCTTTTCCAAATGTCTGATATTTCCCGTAGTTTTGTCTCCTACAGATAGTGTCTTGTTCCCTCATCCTCCTCACTCCGTGTCTGATCGTGAAATAAACGATCTGAGATATAAAACATTCAGTAAAAAGTAACGGAGCAGTGTCGGTCATGCAGCGGCCGCTGTCAACAGACTGTTGCCACGGAGACAGGACGGACTTGCAGCACTTTTCTTCTCAGAGTACAAACGCTTCATGCAGACACTCTTGAGCAACAAACAGATGTTGGAAGTCCACCATTGTTGTTGTAGTCCACCTACTCGCGCGTGACCATTGTCTGGAAGTAATGAGCATGTTCATAGTCAAGTCAAGTCAAGTCAAGGTTTCTTTATTCGTCTCCCTTGGGAGAAATTTGTCTCGGCTACTAGGACTGCATATTCAGAGGAACTGCATATTGCAGTTTACACAACAACACAGGCGATGGCGTTTACAAAAGTGTGCACTCTGGAACTCGTTCTCACTTTGCACAATATCACTTTCCTTTAGTTGACAATAAACAAAATGTAACGATCAGTTCATAATGCATGTTCATAGGAACTGAATCCCATAATCTTTTAACTTGGTGGTTTAGCTTACAAAATCTCTCCACATGCACATTCCTGCTGCTCTTTTTTCACTGATCAAGTCGGGTTTCTTCCACACACCGACGACCTCAGGTTATTTCTGCTCACATAAACCTGAGAGTAAGAGTTAGGAAATTAGGTCAACCAGTAAATGGAGTTTCACCTCCAGGCTCAGCTTCCTCCTCATCACCTGCTTCAAAGTCATTCTGAACCAATCACTCTCAGAACCCAAAACCCACTGAAACACTGAACCTGCTTTTGGCAAATCAAACAATTTCTAAGCAGGGAAACTTCCTCTCAGGTGTGGAGGTGCTGACTCTCTTACCAGACACGTTAGCATCGCTGCAAACTGATGAATATCCAGAACAGATTCCACGTCTATCTGACAGCTACATCCTGAGATGTGATGTTGTAAAGGGGCTGGAAGCAACACAAACAGGGAGAGTTTTCAGCTGCCATGTTCACAGATTCTTAATGTCCAAAATTCCCTAAAGTGAGAATTAAAAAAACACCTCCTGCTCAGAGCGTTCTGTTCTATACGAGGAAACTTTGAGAGCTGAGATAAGAAAGTGTATTAAAGTTGATTAAAGCTCACAGTGATGGATGTGCAGGAACTCTGCAGTTTGGCAGTCGCGGCGTGCAGTAATGATCTGAAACAGACGGCCGCCTGGAAGGAAGAAAATCCGTCTGAAAGCAGATGGATGATTGAAAAAACTCAGCGTGGATGCCTCATGGTATATTTACTACGATGGTCCTTGGAATAGGAGCCGAGGATGTTTGCCATTTCCACGCTGGTTTCTAAAACACTTAATGAGCAGCCTGTGTGTGTTTGTAGATATGTTAAAGTTAAATTTTTTGATCCAGCAGATGTCGCCCTTGAGCACCAGCATGAAACCAAAACAACTGGCGCTGCATTGTTGTGTTAGCATGCTAATGCTAGCGATCTTTATTCTGCTGGTATCTTCACACTGCATGTAAATTTACCTGAAATGAGCGTGATCTAGAAACACAGTTAACCAGTGAGTACAGTATGTTATTCTTCTTTTCTCTAGTCCCTCAATTAAACAACTTTTATACACGAGGGGAGGAGTCAGCCGGCCGTCCGGGCGATGTAAACAAAGTGAAGATAGGACTCTGAAAACTCTGAAAACATCACAGACAGTGGGACTCGGGTGTTACACCCATTGTAGACAGTCATGACTCACAGAGTTATTTTCAGAGGATGTACTTGATTTCTACATTTAAGTGTGAAAAATCACATATTAAGCCTTTTAGGTTCTCAGAGATGTACATTATGATTGATGCTTCCGCCTCCTCTTCCTCCTCAGGCGTCACCAGCTGCTCTGGCTAAGAGCGTGCTAGCAGAGGTGCCCAACCAGGTGGTCGACTACTACAACAGCAAGGGCATCAAGCCCAAAGTGCCCAGCGAGTACCAGTCTTCCAGGCAGTTTGGCCCCTGAGCTCGAACCTCCACAGCTGCCTCCAACAGACTGAGAACTATGTTTACTGTGTTGTCTTCTTTGTCCAAGCGGATGTTAAAGGTGCTACGTGCAGCATTTTACCACAAAGAGATGCCTCATTTCAGATGTGATGATAGGAAACCTGCAGCTTCTACACAGATTTCACATTAACAAGCCTGAGGGGAAGTTCTGCAGAATTACTTGATGTCACAAAACAGGTGCATAGTGTTTAATTTACTGATGTTATTTAGAAGGTAGAAGATGGGAAGCTGCTGGAAGTGACAGGAAGCATAGGAGGTAACAGATATAAACACATCTCCTACAAACGCTGGATTTACCGTTCGAGGCTGCAGGAGCGGTCCAAGATCAGACGCTTTAATGTGCCAATCCAACGAGCGATGTGTAAATCCAGACGTTTGCATGCCCAATCTAACACTGATCAGGTTCTTCGTTCTGCTAGCATGTGAGCTAATGTAGAAAACCTCAGATTTGTAAGAGATGTCTGGATTTAGGGAGTTTTTAATTCTTTGTTACCATTGCCAGTCAGCCTTTCTGATGGTGAGAATTCAGAGCTCAATCCGTTTGTTTCAGCACTTGGCCTTCCTGAACCAAAGCACATCAACAGGATGTTCTCTGATTGGGGCGTTTTTGACCTCGGCTGCAGGAGCAGGCCTTCGTTTGAATGCAGTGCAACACATGCTCATCCTTTTGCTGAGGGTGTTTTTTTAATGAACCCCTTTGTTTGCCCTGGGGTGAATGCATTTGACTGCACGGTCGTTCTAGCTGAGATAATCCCTTCCGTTATTTACATCCCCTTCAGAGAGAAGCATTTGTTTTAATGTGTCGTAGAAAAGCTTTGGAGCTGCAAAGTTTCCATAGCGCTTACAAAGTAGCTACTGCCGTCTAGTGCCAGTTTTTTGTTACTACAAAATACAGTTTAGCACAAAGTATGGAGCTATCACTATTGCAAAACTTATTTTATTGCTTAGATAGATCCACAAATGTGTACACCATCCGTCAATCAGTCACTTCAGGTTATCTGAGGTCGGGTCACAGTGGCAGCAGACGAAGTTGGTCAACCCAGACTTCCCTCTCCCCCCAGCAACATTTTCCAGCTCGTCCTGGTGGATCCTGAGGCGTTTGTCGGGATATATAATCTCTCCAGGGAGCTCTGGATCTACTTCTGGGTCTCCTCCCATTTGGGCATGCATTGAAAACCTCCAAACGGGGGAAACCAGGAGGATCCTATCAGATGTTGAACCACTTTAACTAGCTCATTTTGATGTGAAGGAATGTCTAAGCCCCTCCCTCTCTCTCTAACGCTGAGCCCAGACTCCCTCCAGAGGAAACCAATTTCAGCCGCTTGTATCCTCGATCTTATTCTGTCACTACTCAAAGCTCATGACCACAGGTGAGAGTCGGAAAACAAACATCGAGCGGTAAATTGAGAGCTTTGCTAAGGCAAGCCTCTTAACTGGCTCTTGGTTTACTTGCAACGTTTCAACACTTCTGCCGTGTAAGATCTGTAAAAATTGGAACGTGATCCACAAATGTCTGTGGCGAGCGTTTTATTTAGCTCAGGACAGGGTCGTGTTTTGCTGGTCACTTAAATCGAGGTAGTCTTAAAAAACAGTGTTTGTATTTGTGGATCTATTCATGAAAAGTTAGTTTTTCAAGAATGATGGCTTCATATTTATCATAATTTTGAACATCATAGAAATAATAATAATAATAATAATAAAGTTTATTTATATAGCGCTTTTCGCAGACAAAGGTCACAAAGTGCTTTACATCAACAAAAAACACAAAAACAGCATACAAACAATGAAAGAAGAAAAATAAAAAATGAGTACGACATGGACAACAATATAAAATCCTGCTATAACCAGGAACAATAAAACATAGATGAGCAGGTACACTGGGTTGACCTGATTACCCATCGGCCTGTCTAAACATTCATGTTTTGAATTGTTTTTTAAAAGAATCAACAGTCAGAAAGCTGCGATGTTTACAGGAAATGAAGAACAGCGTCATTAAAAGCTGAGGAGGACGTGTAAAAATGCTAACGCTAGCACCTTTAGCATCCGCTGTGCATGCGGTGCCTTCAGGGGCCGAGCTGATCGTGACCTTCAGGAGTGTTTTTAACGGACATGAAAAAGCACACAAACACAACACTGACCAATCCAGACGCTGTTTCCCTGCAGACAGCATGACGTGCAGGGAAACTGTGGATAAAGGAATGTATGACTCCTCCCCCCCTTCTGGTTTGTTTTTATAAAAGTTTATGGAGATTTTGCAAAAATTTCGTAAAGTTCGTACATGTAAAGCATTTTGGATCTCTGCCAGGTGAAGAGGCGAGCGGCCTTCCCAGACGTCTGCATCCTGTTCTTCTGAAGGCGAGGCAGATGCATGAGCTGTTGTTTTGCATGCAAATCTCCATGCTGGACGCCCCGGGTCCTTGTGGTTTCTGTTAGTGAATGGTATGATTAATAACCATGTTTACAATTTACCCGACGACGGGGCTGTTCTACTCTCAAGCATGTTCACGTCAATGGAAATGTGTGAGTAGATTGAAAAGCACAACCTGAGTGTCTTTGGAGAGTTTTTAGATCTTTTAGATTTTTGGACATTTTTGTGCCTCGGCGCCTGCCCCGCCCCGTCCCGTCTGCGTCTCTGAACACCTCATTTTGAAATTCAGTATTTCAAGGAGCCAACCACACGTTGAGATTATTTCTTCTCTAGACATTTCCTCTTTTCTTTTTGAAAACTAAAGCTGAAGAAGTTCTTCACATCTTCATGACCTTCCATTTAAGTGAAACAAATCATTCTAGAAATCATTTTTTCTCTAGAAAATCTCACATTGATTTCAAACCAAAAGAGAGGAACATTTAGCACAACACGGTTTAATAAACAGCCAGCGTTAATTCAAGCTGCTCAACAAGGAAACATGAAATGAGGACTTCTTGTGTCCCTGCATTGTAAAAGTCTAGCAATGTTGAGATTTCATTTTAAAGGGATAGTTCTGTATTTTTGAAGGGTGGTTGTTTGAGGTACTTGTCAGGAGTAGGTATATTATCCAGAGGAGACGTTGGTTAGCTCCGCCCCTTTAAGGAGAGACCGACATGAGAGCTGGGCTATACAGCTCTGCATGTAGTCTCTAAAATATAGGTGTAAAAAGTCAAAAAATAAATAAATCTCAGCGCTTTAGTTTCCACAAGCAAGCCACTTTGTTTTAGCCTGACATCATCACACCACATATGCGTTCCTCATAAACTCTGAGCTCATATACTCGAACCAAGAGAGCTATGGGACTTGGTAAAAACAGGACTTCAGGACCAGCGGCATCCACATGCCTGCAGTCTGCAGGTCTCACCACCCGAGCTCCCCGCCCACATGGAAGCTGACATTTATACAGACCTTCTTTAATGTTTCGCAAATTAAGTTGGACCAGAAAAGCTGAAAGGAAGTTTGTCTTGAAAGTTGGTGTTTAGCTCATCATTACACACTTGTTAAAAGAAAGTGGCTTTTTCATGAAGTAAAGAGCTGTGAATTATATTAATATAGCGTGCATTTATTCCTGCATTCTTTGGCTCTGTTTTTCTTCAAATTAGCTAAATTAGACCCGTCTGCAGAGCGCTCTAGCTGAGCTTCTGTACCTGCTCAGGCCAGTCTCTCTTTAAAGGCTTTATATGTGATGTTTTGATCCAGCAGATGTCGCCCTTGAGCACCAGCATGAAACCAAAAACAACTTGCGCTGCATTGTTGTGTTAGCATGCTAATGCTAGTGATCTTTATTATGCTGGTATCTTCACACTGCATGTAAATTTACCTGAAATGAGCGTGATCTAGAAACACAGTTAAGCAGTGAGTACAGTATGTTACTCTTCTTTTCTCTAGTCCCTCAATTAAACAACTTTTATACACGAGGGGAGGAGTCAGCCGGCTGTCCTGGCGATGTAAACAAAGTGAAGATAGGACTCTGAAAACTGTGAAAACATCACAGACAGTGGGACTCGGGTGTTACACCCATTGTAGACAGTCATGACTCACAGAGTTATTTTCAGAGGATAGACTTAAAGGGGCCACGCACACGTTAACAAGAACCTCACACAACTGTCCCTTTAAATCAGCACCTAAAGAAAACCTTTGTGTAGCTACATCCTCCATCTTTTCTTTGGACTGATGGGATCATGAAGCAGCAGCTGCGGGCTCAAGGAGAGACAGAGAGGACGGCAGGCGTCGGGTCATGTGACTTATTGTTGTGTTAACATGCAGTATTGTGTGCAAAACAATGACAATGACTTATGATATTAAAAGTTTTATCAATAACCTCAGAGAGTGTTCTTGGTCATGTTTCCTTCAATCACAGCAGACAAAATGAAAGCAATCAACAAAGACACGTTCCAGAAGAATGTTTGTTGGGTTGTTATTTACGTAGATCCAGAGCAGTCAGAGCTGCTAACATTAGCTTAAACGCTGATATAACGGAGCTACCAATGTTAGCTTCAAGGCAGATTCATAAGAGCTGCTAATAATAGCATAAAGTGCTACATAGTATAGCTGCTAGCGTTAGCAGTACTGATTCAGTAGAGAATCAGACTGATGCTCTGACACAGAGAGATGTTCAAGTCTTAACGTTAACTGATATTCTACTCTTATTCGAGGTCGTAAGCTAAGGGCCAATCACACCGAGACGCGTGGCTAGAAAAGCGTCACCAGCAATTCAATTCATTTCAATTCAAAAAACTTTATTTGTCCCCAGGGGGCAATTCAAAGGCACACAGAGCAGTAAATTAACAACAGTGCAAGTAAACAAAACATTTTAACCTAAATAGAAAGTGTCAATTTAAATACAACTTAAAGCTTAAACTTAAAAATACAAAATATAAAAGAGTAGATATAAGTGGACAGTGATCGGACTAACAGATGTAAACAGATGTAACCAGAACTATGTGCAGTAAACAAGAAATAAATATATATATACAGAGCTATGTGCAAGTAGGCAAATACTAAATGATAAGTTATAAGGTGCATGGTGAATAATGGAACAACAGAACTAATATCTCCAATATAACTGTAAGGTAAAAATTAGATAAATAAAGTGACCATAGTGCAATGATGGATAAGAAACAACAGGAATAAATTCACCAGAACTGTATGAATACTGATATAAAATGTATAGAATAAAGTGATGTAGTGCATGAGAGCAGATAAAGCAGAGGCAGTTCAGGTGCATGTCAATATAAAGGAAGTTCACAGCTGAGAGTCTGCATTGGGTGAGAGGTGTTGGTGTCTGTTTGGGGGGTTAGGAGTTGAGGAGCTGGACCGCCCTGGGGACAAAGGTTGCTCTTCTCCTCTGTGTCCTGCAGCAGGGACAGCGAAGCCGGCGTCCTGAGGGGAGCCACTCAAACGCTGGGAAGAAGCGTGTGAGGGGTCCTGCATGATCCGACCTGCTAGCCTGATTGTCTGTTGCTCATAGATCGATGTCAAAGTCCTTACAGGTAGTCCAATGATCTTAGAGCAGACTGTGACCGTGCTCTGCAGGCGCTTTCTGTTCTGGAGGGTGGTGGAGTGGAACCAGCAGGTTATAGAAAAAGTAATAATGCTCTCAATGAAGGAGTAGTAGAAGGTCAGAAGAATGTTCTTACTGACTCCAAAGGAATTGAGCTTCCTTAGGAGGTATTTTTGCTGCTGACATTTCCTGAGAATCTCCTCGGTGTTGGAGGCGGATTTCAGCGGGCTGTCGAAGATGGTACCCAGGTACTTATACTCCTCTACTACTTCAACAGGATTCCCATGGATTGTGGTGGTTGCTGATGCAGCCAGTTCCCTCTGCTTGTTGGAGAAGGTCACCACCATGTCTTTGGTCTTGCTCACGTTCAGTTCGAGGCAGGAGCTGTCACACCACTCCACAAACTCCTGAAGAACTGGTCCATGGTGCTGAGAGGGGCCTGACAGCAGAGAGAACTGTGTCGTCTGCGTACTTCACCAGGTGACAGTTTGGCTGTGTGGTTCTGCAGTCATCGGTGTAGAGGATGAAGAGCAGAGGTGAGAGCACGCAGCCCTGAGGGGAGCCAGTTGAGATGTGTTGGAGGTTGGAGAAGGTGTTGTTGACCAGAACTCTCTGTGATCTGTTGGTCAGAAAGTCCAATATCCACAGGATAAGCTCGTAGCAGAAGTGTTGTTTTCCTCTGGTCCAGCTTGCACCTCATCTCAAGACGCCGCGTCGCAGCGATCGTCAGTGTCACTTTTGGCCAAAGCCGCCAATCAAATCAAGGAGGAGGCGGGACTTCTGACCAAACAGAGCTCACTGAAGAGATGGTGGAATTCACCGTATGGTTTCCGTTTACCAAGAACCCAAAACGACATTTCCCCTCCTCGCCCTCCTCGTCTCGGAGCAAAGCTACAGAGACAGCTCTACGTTTATTTTTTTTCTCACTTATTTTATTGGGTTGCACGTACAGGTGCTCGCAACTGTTTTTGAACGACTGTGTGTAGGAGGGCGCGTGTCTTAGTGATCGGGTCCTCAGGGTAGCTACATACCAGACGGTTTTCAAAACATGGGAGACCACAGACACGAGTTTAAAACCACTTTTAACAGCAAATCAGCCAGACACCGGGTCACACTCCTGCTGTTTGTCGAAACGATTTCACAGATAGAAACTCACGTGATGAAACGGGACTTCAGAAGAAGAAAAACAAAAATGGAGGACGATGGACATGTCTGCTGGTTGTCCTGCTGTTTGTTCTGTTTTGCAGCGAAGAACAGAAAACGAGATAAACAACACGGATGAGATCTTGTATGAGAAGACGGTTTAGGCACGAGCTGGAGGTGAGCTATTCAAGTTGGGGCCCAACATGATATTTATGATTCCAGAACGGGGAGGCTCCGACTCGATGGGCAGCAGTAAAATAATTGTAATGACACCACACACCTGAGGATTATTGGACAAATGATCGGGGGGTTATTTGCATATTCTGATTGAGAACAAAACCCAGCGATAGTCAAATACTTTCACCGCATATTATTGCTGTTTCACTTTTGACTTAGACCTAAGAAGACACTTTCCTCCACTGCTCGCTCATAACATAATCGTCTTCATTTCCATGTTTGTACTTTTACTACAGAACCGAGAATAAAGTCACAATGCTGCCTTCATTCAGGGGGTGTTAAAGGGGATTTTCTTTCTCCATGAGGATGTTCAGCTGTGTGTTTGCTCTTTAACCCTCTGAGAGAAAAGCAGATAATCTCCCAGCTGTCTCAACATCCTGGGCCTGATTCCCAAACAGCAGCAGTAATTAAAGCTCTCGCTGTTTGTTTGGATGCGTGACGGTTCAAGAAGAGGAGGAGGAGGAAAGGAGGCCGTTTAGTCCGTCAACAGGCCGAAGATCCACAGCCGACACTACACAGCACATCATGACAACGCTGCAAACAGAAGACACATCACAAGACAACCAAACAAAGCACATCACAACACAACAAAAGAGACAACCCACCATGACACAAGACATCACAAAGCATCACAATGACATTGACAGTACAAATATTTTGCCAAAGTTAACATCACTTTATGTCAGATTGGATTCCTGTTCCTGTTCGGGCTGAACTTCTTCTCTCAGCCCCTCTAAACATCTCCAGGTGTGAGCAGCAGCACCTGAGTGTTTCCTGTCAATCGTCTGCACTGATCCAGAACAGAGGAGTAAATCTAAAAGTCCAAATTGGCCAATTACCTGCAGAGAGAATACGACGACTGTGCATCCTGTCAGTCAGCCCGTTGGTTTGATCATTATTGAGCCCTAAGATCGAAGATTAGATCTGATGAGGCTCCATTAAACTGTTTCTTTGTCTTTAGCTGACGGAAGACTGTAAGATGTGTAGAGAGTGAAATGATAATGGTATCTTACTATATGATCAGGCATTATTATTATTATTAATAATAATAATAATAATAATAATAATACATTTTATTTATAAGCGCTTTTAAAAACTCAAAGACACTGTACAATAGTTAAAACATAAAGAACAGCACAGTAAGGACAGACTAACGGACATCGCAGCATTACACACAAATCATAAAGATAACAACAATAAAGATAACAACAATAAAGGTAAACTACAGAAAATACATCACAATCATACATTAAAAGCTTGATTAAAGAGGTGATTTTTGATAAGTGATTTGAAAGTAGGAGGGTCGGTGCAGTGTTGAATGTGTGTGGGGAGTGAGTTCCAGAGGGAGGGGGCAGCTATGGAGAAAGCTCTGTCCCCCCAGGTTCGGTGCTTGGTTCTAAGAGGGGGAGATAGGAGGTTGGCTTTTGAGGACTGGAGGCTGCGTGCAGGAGTGTGAGGGTGAAGGAGAGCCGTAAGGTAGGAGGGGGCCTGGTGGTTAAGGGCTTTATGTGTGAGGAGAAGGATTTTGAATTGAATATGGTAAGGGACAGGGAGCCAGTAGAGATTTTACAGGACAGGGGTGATGTGTTTGCGTATTTGGGTGTGGGTAAGGAGGCGTGCAGTAGAGTTATGAATGTATTGAAGTTTATTAAGGACTTTGGATGATGTGCCGTAAAGGATGCCGTTGCAATAGTCAAGTCTGGATGTGATGAATGCATGGATTAGTGTTTCAGCAGCAGAAAATGAGAGTAGTGGACGGAGGCGGGCTATATTTTTGAGGTGAAAGAAGGCGGTTCTTGTGAGCTGGGTGACGTGGTGGTCAAAGGAGAGCTGGCTGTCAAAGATGACTCCAAGATTGCGGATATGAGGGGAGGGGGAGA